TATAATAAAGATGATAATATTCATGATTAACACCCTCTACAATAAAAATGATTAACCAACTTCTCCTAATTACAAAAAAAAATGAACACAATAAAAAATTATGATTGGTTGAATGATATTTGTACATTTTGTACAAATAACATGATTTGTAAAGTAAACCTTATATATATATATATATATATATATATATATATATATATGTGTGTGTGTGTGTGTATATATAAATAAATATATATAGGTGGAAGTTCAAATGAGAACACCTCCATTTTATAAGAACGCGAGAGCACCCTTATCACATGTGATAATACGCGTGAGGGGACTCTGTGATGCGCGGACGACGTATTCTACGACTTAGGACGCGCCAAAGGTTGTTTGCGTCTATGATTTAACATCACATGTGATGATTTTGATGAATTATAGTATTAAATCAACACCACCTTTATCACGTTTGATAATACTTGTGAGGAGGCTTAGTGGTGTAAGGGTGAATTGGTTCGCAACCAAAATCGCATCGAAAATTGCCCGCATATCTGATTTAGTATCACATATGATGAAATAATAATATCACATATGATTGTCTATAATAAAAATAATGTTCTCACGTTCTTGTAAAATAAATATGTTCTCGTTTAAACCCTTCCCCATATATATATATATATATATATATATATATATATATATATATATANTGTTCTCACGTTCTTGTAAAATAAATATGTTCTCGTTTAAACCCTTCCCCATATATATATATATATATATATATATATATATATATATATAAGTCGTGATCATACATAATATACATCCAATCAAATTGTAAACCCAAGTTCGCATGAAAATGTCAAAGTCTGAAGAAAACATTAGTTTATGAATATTCTAACTAATCAACATTATTATATATAATTAGATTCAGACAACATTAGAAAACTAAAACAAGTAGCTTTGTTTAATACCACCCACATGGATCCATATATCTCATTTTTTTGTCTTCTAATTATTCTACTTGTTAAAATTTAAGATAAAAATTAAGGGGTCGTTTACCAAATACTTATCAAATCACATAACCTTATCGAATGAATATAATAAGGACCAATAATCTTACCCGGTTAGAGCGAGACAAGGACCAAGAGTCTTACATTGTTGCATACGATATGGTTTTGGTAGACTAAAATCTTACCCGGTAGGTAATTGATAGCGTTAAATTTTACTGGTAAGTGCTTATTGGGTAAGTGTTTGATAAACGGTCCCTAACATATATAATATTTTGGTACAAATGATTTAGATCACATAAAAAAAGGTTTCAAATGACACATATTAGTGTGTGTGTGTGTGTGTTTTTTCCATTTTAACAAGCATAATTATTGGTTTATAGCAGAACTATAACTACACCAGTAAGAAGACTCGTCTCTCAAACGTATTTCAATTGACAAAAAAGTGAGATGACTTTTTTCAAATACAAGACAGGTTTTGGGTTGATTTAGACTCCCCCACTAGCCTGCAACTGATGAATAAGTCAAAAAAATTCCCCATCGTATTGGTGTCTTTGGAGACGGGGTCCATGTAAGGCCGGTTAAAGTTGCTGTTAATCAACTTTTTGCCTAAATAGTAAGAAAGACTCGTATATACTTATTGATGCATATTACATAAAAAGATTACAAGTTAATTGTGCGTAAATATAACTTATTAAGCTCCATGTTTGAATTCTTGTAACTGACTGTAGATAAATATAATCAAATACAAGATAAAGCTCTTATTTTATAATCTAAAATGTAATTAGAATAATTATTGAGTTATAATAGAATACTTAGTTATTATTAATTTTTATAATATCTTTAAATTTATATTTTATTAAGAAAAACATTATTGTTTGCTCAAAACCACATAAATTCGTATTATAGCATCGACAGAGACCAAAAAAATAAAATGAAACATTGAAATCAAGATACATCTCGCTGCATTGCTCAAGTACTCTTCTAATTTATTTAAATAAGGGTAGGTTGCAAAAATCTAAGAGGTTGATAATTTTTAAGTATTTTTATGTCATTATATGGTCTTTATCTGTGTCATTAGTCATATTATAACAATACAAAAGAAACTAATAAGCATTAAGACAAATACATATATACTTAATCATAGTCTCAAATCTTTGAAACCGAATAAGGGGGCGTACAGGATTATTTAGAACAATTTATGTTTTTTTTTTGTTAAAGTGTTTGTCAACTTATGTGGTGTCAAACTGAAGTTTTATAAAAAGTGTTTGAATTAACTTATACGATACCAAAACGTAATAAGCTGATAAATATTTCTTTTCTTTTTTTCTCATCCAAACAATAAAAACTTCTTATTACCAATAGCAAACGTAATAAGCTGATGAATTCTATTTTTCTTTTTTCTAGCTAAACGTTACAATTAAATTATTATTTTTTTGGGATGGTAATCCTAATAACATTTTTTTCGGTTAAAAGTGGTTGTCATCTCGCTACAAAAGGTGTTGGAGTCTAACTCACACCACTTTGTTTTTTTTTTATTAACCTGGATATCCAACCCGCTAATCCCAGGACAGCCACCTGCTTTGCAGATAGCCCGGAGTCACCGTATTTGAACCTCCGTGGCAACAAGGGGATTTTTATTCCTCATTGAATTTGAAACTGGGACCTCCAGGTACTTTTGATCTTTGGAGCCAAGCTCAAACCAACATGGTTAGGAATCTTGCTTGGAGAGCAGTTCACGATGTGTTACCCGATAGGGTTAATCTACAATCTTGTGGTGTAAATGTGTTGTACAACTGTATCTTTTGTGATACTAATCCGAAAAATACGTGGCATGTGTTTGTTGACTGCCTTTTCACTAAACAAGCGTGGAGAGAGGCCGATGTTTGGGAGTTGATCGATGATAAATGCGAGTTAAGCTAGCAACTTTTTAGATATTTTCTTCTAGTTCTAGCTTCAAACTCTACGATGATTACAACAAAATTCCTTATGATCACGTGGTGTATATGGAGACAAAAAAATGCAAATTGTGGCCAAATAAATCTATTACAGCCCATCAGACGGTGCAAAACGCCTTGGAGGCTTTTGATGATTAACAGAAGGCCAAAGAACCGAAGTCTTGTTTGAACTTTACCACAAGCCCTGCCCCTTGCGTACTATAGCATAAGCCTCCTCTAAATTTTGTAAACTGCAACACTAATGCGGCCATTTTAGAGGATATGTCGTGTGCAAGACTAGATGTGGTGTTTCGAGATGATAAAGGGAAATTCTTAGTTGCTTGAACATCTAACGTAGAAGAGATCCCGCTCGTCAAGGAATGTGAGGCTATTTGCACTTGTTGAAGCTGTGTCTTGGGCGATCGAACTTGGGTTTCCCAAGGTCATCTTTGAATCATATGCCAAACAAGTAGTTAATGTTATCCATGTTTCAGTTAATGATACTTCTGAGTTTGGGGATATTATCTCGAGTTGTTGTATTTTGCTACTTTAACAATATTGGGCTGTCTCTCTGTATTGGGTTAGCCCAGTTTGTTTTTTAGATTGCTTGAAATAAGGCCCATGCCAAGAGTCAGTCGTATGAGTTCCAGATTACTCGG